TATCATCGTACTGGATCACTTCTACCACTGCCGGATGCAGATCACAAATTTCTCCAAATTTATTTCATGGGAACCAGTGATGAACAAGTTGATCAACATTGTCGATTCAATACCGGCACTAATCGAGAAATTGTTGCTTCATTACAAAATTTATTCGATCAACATAATGAATTAGTTCGACTGTTCAAGACGGCCCTCGAGCGAATGCCAGCTGATGATTATGTACTTGTCATTAGAGCTGACAAAACACCAGCTGGCCAACATGAAAGACAATACAACGCACCAACAATTAATGAAGTGGCGATCGTCATAGTTGGCGAAGAATTTAACTCGCGTGATATAGTTCTTCATCGCAGAGATGGTAATGTTCAGCGAGTCTCCGAAACTCATCGCTCATACGATGCATTGCAATATCCAATTTTATTCTGGCAAGGAGAAGATGGATATCATTTCAACATCAAAATGAGAAATCCACAAACAGATGAGGACACCAATAAGAAAGTCAGTGCCATGAATTACTATTCATATCGATTGATGATTCGTGAGAACACAGACAACCACATTTTGAAATGTCGAAAATTATTCCATCAATACATTGTCGATATGTATGCAAAAATCGAGACCGAACGACTTCTTTTCATTCGATTGAATCAAACCAAGCTGCGCTCTGAAGAATACATTCATTTACGCGATGCAATTGCTACTGATGGCAATCCCAATGAACTGGGAAAAATGGTCATATTGCCGGCTACATTCACCGGAAGCCCACGGCACATGCATGAATATGCACAAGATGCAATGACTTATGTTCGCGCATACGGCCGTCCGGATTTATTTATAACATTTACATGCAATCCTACATGGGAAGAAATTAAAGATCTTCTGTTGCCTGGACAATCGTCTTCGGATCGCCATGACATCATTGCACGTGTGTTCAAGCAAAAATTGAAATCTATGATGGATTTCATTGTCAAACATCATGTTTTTGGGGAGACACGCTGTTGGATGTATTCCATTGAATGGCAGAAAAGAGGAGTACCGCATGCACACATTTTAATTTGGTTGATCGACAAAATTACACCAGACAAAATTGATGAAGTCATCTCAGCAGAAATACCAGATGTTGACATTGATCCAGGCTTATTCGAAGTCGTTACCAACAACATGATTCATGGTCCATGCGGCGCGATCAACAACAATTCTCCGTGCATGAAGGATGGAAAATGCACGAAACGCTATCCACGACACTTACACGCCGAAACTATCACTGGAAATGATGGATATCCACAATATCGTCGACGATCAACTGAAGATGGTGGCAAATTCATCACTTTAAAAGTATGCAACAATGACATTGAAGTCGATAATCGTTGGGTTGTGCCATATTCACCATTACTCTCAAAGACGTTCAAAGCACACATCAATGTCGAGTATTGTAATTCAGTGAAATCGATCAAATACATTTGCAAATATGTCAACAAAGGAAGCGATATGGCAGTTTTTGGAGTGGGAAATGCATCTGCACCAATCAATGAAATCGATCGATATGAATTGGGACGCTACATTAGTACCAATGAGGCAGTTTGGCGTATTTTCTCATTTCCAATTCATGAACGTCATCCAACAGTTGTTCATTTGGCCGTACATCTTGAAAATGGATAGCGCGTGTATTTTACAACGGAAAATGTACATGCAAGAGCATTATCGCCACCGAAAACAATGTTAACTGCGTTCTTCTCATTGTGCACGGATGATTTATTCGCAAAAACGCTACTTTACTCAGAAGTGCCAAAATACTACACATGGAATGCATCAGCGAAAAAGTTTCAACGTCGTAAACAGGGGAAACCAGTTGAAGGACATCTGAATTTATATTCGTCCGACGCGTTAGGCCGTCTTTATACAGTTCATCCAAACAATCAAGAATGTTTTTACTTGCGATTACTGTTACTTAACGTACGTGGACCGAAATCCTTCCAAGAACTGAGAAGAGTAAATGGTGAAGTATGTGCGACCTATCGAGAAGCTTGCCAAGAATTAAATCTTCTTGAAAACGATGCACAGTGGGACACAACACTCGCTGATGCATCCGATACTGCTCAACCACAGCAAATACGCAGGTTATTTGCGATAATATTGACAACGTGTTTTCCATCCAATCCGAAATATCTTTGGGAAAAATACAAAGATTACATGAGTGAAGACATCCTACGTCGTTTGCAAGCAATGAATCAGAATCCAGACATGCAATTCACACCACAAGTGTATAATGAGGCGTTGGTTTCGATCGAGGATATATGTTTGACAATCGTTAACAAAGGATTGGGGCAGTTGGGAATGTGTGCACCGAATCGATCTGCAAATGACGCATATGATCGTGATTTGCAACGTGAAAGTCACTTCGATGTCGATGATTTGGGTACATTTCTTGAAACGAATCTTCNATATGAATTTCTTTCAGACATTCGAAGTAATTTATTAAGCAGCCTATTTCTTTTAATTTCTGCAAACTTTTTTATGCGGTTTTAAGTTAATTTTAACTCGCTGTTTTGGTTTTATGCGATTTTAGAAAATTACGGAACGTATCCCTACTTTTTCAAGGCAAATAAAATCTTTTTTTTATGCGAATTTTTTATATGTGCTTTTCTGTAGAACGTATCCACCGCATAAAACGAGACCTTACAGTAAACGGTTTCTTGTAACCATAGTCTGTCTCTGTGCCGATTGACTACATACGACCCTTCGCCACCCCTCGACCCTGTTGACATTTCCACCCCCGTCGGAAACCTTACACTAATATTATTTTATCTTCGATTTCAAATATTACTTCAATGGAAATTAATATAAATTAAATCATGAATATAGAGGATAAATGATATCTAACCTCTAGAGCTAGTGGAACTGAGTTGAGCGCCACCTGTAGGCAGGCAATGAAAACTTTTTCGGGAAAACACGTGCGTCTTTGGGTTAGATACATAGTGAAACACGGTGCTTGTTTTTTTTTTTTTTTGTATAATGAATCACAGCTTTCTGCCACACAAAACTTCAAAAAATACCTGTTGTGTGGTCGGTTGTAGTGTTACGTATATTACTGCGCCGCCAGGTACAGTACAAAGTTTTATTCGTTTCCGAATAAAAAATACTCTGGAAGGAAAGAGAAATGGCTGGCTGCAATTCTGCGGATTTAGTATTATGTTGGGTATTTTCATTGAAGGTATTTTTTTAAAGTTGTGTGTGTGTATATATATAACTGTGACATTTAAATGCATTGTATTGTAATGATCTCTGTAAATTGCTAGGGCGCCTTTTTTTAACGGTAAATAGGTGTAGTCCACTTTAAATTACTACTCATTGTTTACGTAGTGCATTGAGTAATAACTCATTAAAAATATTAAAAATACCAAAACATTTCGTATTTCTGTAAATCTAAAATCCTGATAATAAATAACAAAATTTAAAAAATGCTTGATGATGTCATTATTAGCCAGGGACAGTATTAAAGATCATTTCAAGTAATTCGTTAGTCAAAACGTGACCAAAGTTGCTTGATAATTGTAATGTAATATAATATGTAAAATTAAAAACACTTTTTTTAGAAAAGATGACAAACCTTGGAAACCCACAAAGTACAGCAAAGTCTGCAGTCAGCATTTTGTAGTGGACGGAAATTTGACAACCCTGACCATCCAGCATACGTTCCCACACTTTTTCCAACATACTACAAGAAACAGGGTTGTGGAAATGCTGACAGGTTTTTAAGGCAGGCAAGAAGGAAAGAAGAAAAGGTGGAGAGCGTGGATAATAGCATGGATGTGGACACCGAAACCATATCTGTGATCACCAAACATGACACTGGAACACAAACTGATGTAGGGGAACCACTTTATAGTACAGATAATATGGCAGTCTTATTTTGTGAAAAGTTATGTAATGATGTGGGTACCCAAACTAATATTTATTGTAAAAAGCAGTTTCTCTCCTTTCTTTAAATTAATTTTTCTCAGGGTTTCGGTAGATATTACTTCAAAATCACACTGCCTTCTAAGAAACATTATTCGTACGCTACGAAAAGGAGAAGCACATGCCACATTCGTNTGTGGCCAGCTCACACGTCGGAAAACCTTCTGATTTATTTGTATACGCACCAGAGGGAAAAACAAAAAATATCGTGTATCCACAAGCACTCCAGTAAATAAACGACGCTTGAAACAACACTTTGAAATGTTTTCCCGATGAAAATGAACAATAATAATAAGTTTCAATAAAAATGATAAAATGTAAATTGAATTTTGTCATAACGAGTTTGCTTAAATTTCCTTTCTTCTGAGATCGAAGCAATGCGCGACGGGTAAGCTAGTATTATATAAAAACACGTGCTTATTCAAATGCAGCGTTATGTCAAAATTTCAAAGGAATCGGTAGGAACAAATGAACATTACATTTTTATTTATATAAATAGATAGAAGATGATCCGCTTTAGTTCATTTTCACAGAAAAGCGTAATGCCTCACAGAAAAGCAAACTTAGGGCGTCGTACTCGTAGTGCCATCTGTTGGACATAAAAGCCTTAACCCTAGATGATATAATTTAATTTATATAAATGTTTAATGGAATAATATACAGCCTATGTCCACCCTGAAGTTCCATTCTAAATATTGGTGAAAGAATTTTTGAAATTGGATGAGTAGTTTCGGAGATTACCTGCTGCAAACAAACTTAAATACAAACATTACCTCTTTATAATATTAGTATAGAAGTATAGATTGTATATTTGATCTGTGCTTGACTTTTGTTGTGTATTTACTTACAGCATTATCAGCACAATATGCATGTACTCTACTGCACATTTTTGTAGGTCTTATGATTTAATGTTATACTCTGCTACCATATTATCTCTTATTTTATTTTGTAAGTGTATAATTATATACATATATTGCTTTCCTGTAACTTGTATTCATGTACCCCATCTCCAGCTATGCCTAGTGGTGCTGGTTATGTATGCATGTGTACTTTAATAAAATAACTAACTAACTAACTAAACTATTGAAGTGATTTTTTTTCAAAAATAGGTAATATACTAACAAGTAAGATGATTTTTTGATTATGTAGTCACTATCTCCTGTTTTAAATGATTTTCAGATGTTGATTTATCTCCAAGACTCAAGAAATAAAAATAGAACTTCAACAGTTAAATTGCCTTATTTTATCATATGAGAATATTTTTATATATAAAAATAAATATATATTTTTTTAAAACTAGAATCTAAATAATTTACATACTAAAAAACATTCTCTTTAAAAATGAAAATGCACTAATTTTAAAAATTTATCGTACTAGAAAAAGTACAGATTGTCTAATAATGGTTGTTTATGACATCAAAAATGTTTAAGCATTAAAAAAATGATGTAATAAATATTTGACTTTTAGAACTTGATTTTGGAAGAATTCAAATCAGATTCAAATATACTGTAACTTTAAATAAAAATTAATTTTCAAAACAATTTCAGTTGTGTCAATATTTTCTTGATTTTGTATTTAGTTTTAAGTTTTGTTAAAATATTAAATCAGGAATTCATTGTATTTGGAATTTACAAAACCAAAAATATGACCAAATTTGTTTAACTTTAATAGTGGAAAAACTTTTTAAGTAAAGAAAAACTTATTTTATTCCTTAAGATCTTCAAACTTAAAAAAAATATCACTATTTTAATGTTTATCATTTTACAAAAATATTTTATAGGAAAAAATTATTTTAAAAAATAGTTTAGTAGTTGAGTTTTCATAAAATATATTACAATTAAATTATATATCAGATTCAAATATAATTTTCCTAAATGTCACAGATAATTCAAACTCATTTCTATTTTATAATATTTATTATAAAAGAAAATTACCACTATGTAATTACTTTAGTGATATAATTGAACTTTTTGTAATATATTATTTCATAGCAATTTTGATAAAAGTAATAATACAAATTCTTATAATTTACAAAGTTATTATGTTTTGAGAGGTGGAAAAGAAACACAGTCCAATGCCGTGTCACCTTATAAAATCAATTGGGTCTAGAAGAATTTCTCTTACATGGAAATTCTTTTTAGTCTTTAATATCTTGAATTCTAGAAATTCAAAAATAAAATACCCATTTTATTTTTCTCTGAAAATTGGATAAATCCCTTTTTTGTTTTATTTGTTTACACCTGGAAAATAATACAATAGCCGATTTCTGTTGCTGAAGGTAGGTTGTTAGTATGGCTGAATTAATGAAATAAGAATTAAAAAAATCTTATTCTGTTTAATTTTACAGACATGTGGTATCTTGAATGATTATTTTGCACAGTATTCTCAAAATTCATTAATTTTAAAACTCTCCTGGGTGTCTAGTAAAGTTAAGCAAGTAGCAGCAGGAATGAGTTGAGAATGTCAGCTGACAAAAACTTCAACAAATAGTACTACTAAACAATTTCACATACACAGCATCTTAAATATATGTATTGCTATTTGCCTAACTCAAGACTAGATGATGATAAGTGATTTAATTCTTCTATATTTTTTTAATCTTTTTAATGTTTCTGTTAAAACTTTTAATTGGGCTGAAACTATAGATATAGATATTACTTCAAATTCAGCACATTATATTAAATTTTTTCCTGAGACAGGCCACAAGAATGTTCACAAACTTATCCATATTTTCTGCTAACACCTGTAGACCAAGATTTTCAAAGTGCAGAATCTCTTTGTTCCAGTCTTTGCTCTTATTCTAAGGAAATCCCTTTAAATATAAAAAAAATATCAAGTTACAAGTTTTTCATTTTGATGCCTAAATATCCATTGTTGCTTCAATACAAAAGCTTTTAAAAGACAAATAATTACAGGTATTTCATTCTGTTTTTGATTTATTTTTTTATCTAACAACGAGCAATTATTTATTGTGACATTGTCACAATGAAGGCTGCAATTTTTAATTCATTTAATTTAAAATATATGCTCTCTACCTCATAGTAGTAGTGACTTGTCCCTGTCATCATACTTTTCCTTTAACAATAGTCATACCAGTCATCTATTAACTGCTTTCAGGGGAAAAGTTTTGAATTGAAATAACATGTCTTTCAGTTTGCGTTGGAAGTTCGTATATAGTTAATCGGTGCATCCTGTCCCTAATCTTTCCATATTTGGTCTTGGATTTCATCTATCTAACTCTGTTCTTGAGATTAAGGAGAGACAGATGGACAAATAACAGTGGGAATTAATGGGTCTACAAATTAAATATAGGACACTTCCGTGTTGTGGCATTATTGACAGCGATTTGTTAAATTTCAGATATACTCGCTAATACTTTCAACAGTTTACAACAGTCATCTTCAGGTAAAATCGAATACCTTTGTTTTCGAATTGACAGCTTTTAACAGACTTTTCAAATTACATAATGCATGTGGTTGGAATATAGAACAAAACAATAAAAATCGAATAAATAAATATTTTTAAAGAAACAAAACAATAAAAATTGAATAAATAAATATTTTTAAAGAAACATGCTGTAATAACTTGAACTCCCCAAAACATATAAATAACGAATAATGGTACCGTGCATGGGAGTAGAATAAAATCAGATCACAAAATTATAACTTGGATTGTTTAAATAAAGTTATCCATAGTTGTGGTATTGCCAATGTTGGCGCATTACACGGCAAAGCAGCAGATATGTAAAGGTTCTCCCATATGAATATTTTGCCTACGATCTTTGCAATGCTTAAATAATTTAATGTGGTTCCAAAGTGAAAGATAATCTTGGTCTAGAACCTTTTTCGCTAACTCTGTAGCTGTCTGTTATTTCTAATGTCCTCTTGATATTCGAAGATGCAGGACCGTATTATTCTAGTGGTAGCTCCAATATAGATAATTTCTTCCCCTGATATTGTATGCTTTAATGGAATTTTTTAAACTCCCGATTTTACATTCAACATGAGAGTGTCTCTATTGTTGCACAATGTTCTTTGTAGTGATGGTGTGAGATTCAAAATTTAGTTAATTTTATAAAATTAATTTATTCCTTACCTATAAAATCGAAATATAGAGTCCGTGGGAATTTTATGTCTTAATATAAACATTCTCACGAGGAATCCATGTATAGTTTACACTTACAGGCCAAATTTGTCATATTGTTGCCATTCTATCACCACCTTTAACCCCACACCCGCTAAAACAATTGATCACCTGACTAATTTTCCCACCACAAAAGGTATAAAAGCCATCCTTATTTCCCTCTCGGGGGAATCGCCGATTGAGTCGAAACGTTGAAGTCGGACATCACCTTCCCCCATCGCAAAAAGGTCTACACTTCCGTCGTAGACCTACACTTGTGTCACACCCCAGAATCCATTTGGACGATATTACGGAAGAATATCCCACTAGTATATGCAAAGAGGTATGAACGCATATTTGTAAACTCTCTCTCTCTCCACCATCCGCGCAGTAGCAAGATAGCTTGTTATAATGGAACTTAGAGTAATTAGGTTTGTAATTTTTTTTTCCGTAGATGATTGTAATAAACTCTTGTTTTGTTTTTAAATGGTGTCTTTACTCAACTTAGCCAACGTCTTTTCGTCGACTTCTCTGACTCTCCTCCACTCGCGTAACGCGTAAAAAAACGTAAACGTCATCCTTGACAAGAAAGTAGGTCACTGGAAAGGAAAGGAAATTCCAACCTCCCCGGTGGCTCACAATGGTTGAGGGGTTATAGGTAATATAAAACCATGCTTTCTGAATATGTGTGTTATTTTTAGTGAAATGGTGCCCAAGTACAGTATTGGAGGTATATCTTTATGCTTTCTTTGTTACAGAGGAAAGATTTTGGAAACAATTTGTTTATGAGTCGGTTGTAGAGATATCAATATTTGGAATTAGAATATCTGGCATTGTGCACTGCTCTGTTGTTAATTTGTAATTATTTATCAATTAATACCTGGGTGGATGGGATGAGGAGCGTTCTCCGAATAAGCGAAGTGATAGCGGAGTTTATAAGGCTTGAGGGCTGGAAAACAGTTACAGGGATAATATCTGGCCCTTTGTTGTTTTTGTGGTGCACCACAAAAGTTAGCTCCAAAGATCTATGCACTTCTAAATCTAAAAAGGAAATCTTGCTCCTCTTCTACAGTGAAATTGATAGGATATATTGAAGCTAGCATTTGAATAAATTTGTCTAAATCTTCTGCAGAGCCCGTCCCATGCAAGCAAAATATCGTCAACGTACCGTAGATACATGATAGGATAGTGGATTGTTAAAAGTGCATGGAAAATACACCTTTAAAACAATCCACAACATGGAAGTGACCTATATTTAATTTCTAAACGCTGGTGTGAAGTGAACTATATTTTCATTATAGGTCTACAATTTTTTCAAATTGCAGCCCAACAAAATATATAATTTAAGGTTATGATATCAAAAACAGCTCAACTTTCATGAGAATATGGTCAAGTAGGGATTTTTCAGCAGGTTCTATAGGTGTTTATAGTTCTATGTTAGAACAGATTGAGAATCATTGGTGTAATCTCATTAACATATTGGATACTTGTTTATTGATATATTCATGATTTGACTTCTTTCCTATCTATTCTAACTTTTTTAAAATTAGATATTCTGTTAGTGTAAAACATCTCATACATAATATTCACAATTTTTTAAAATGATTTAATGAATTGTATACTTTTTGTTTTATTTTTGTGTAAAGTTCATTAATTCTGAAAATGGAAGTTTACTTTTTGAAGAATTTTAAAATTTAATTTTAAATCTACTTAGCATTAAATTTAAAGTTGATAGTCTTAGAAGACTTTGTTATCTTTAAAAATTATTATTAATTAAGAGTTGTAAATCAAAATTAATAGGGTTAGACCTTTTACAATATTGAATTCAAATTATTATACAGTAAAATCCATGTAAAATGAAACCTGACTAAAACAGAAACCTACCTAAATGGAACAGACTTCTGAACAAAGCATTTTCTATGTTAAATTTCATTATAAGTCAGAAACCTCTCTAATGTAAAAATGCAAGTTTTTGAATACAAATAACATAAATTAGCCTAAACAAACAGAAAATTAAGATTCCATACTAGAAAAATAAGTAAAACGATCACCACAAAGCATGACAAACTTATTCCAAAAACAATTTTGACCCTATCAGAACCTTGAAATAAAGTACATGTAATAAAGGGTAATACAGACATAGGATCTTTGTTGGAATTAACCAGGCACAGAAACAAATACTTTTAAAAATTAAATGAATGAGAACAGTTCTCAAAAATGAGTAATGAATGCAAATTGTTGAAAACAATGAGAATAAGATAACATGCTGCCAATTTGCCTTACATATAATAGTTATTTAGTAAATAATACTAGTATATGAGGACAATTTAATTAACATTGTTGGTAAGTATAGAGTTTGAAGTTAATTGTTAATATAGTATTAAAATTCCTTGAGAAGTCAGATCACAGAATAACTTGGTCTTTATATCACTGTAATGAAATTAGAATTTCTGACAGCAGAGAAAAACAATAGTTCTTGATGCTCAAATTAGCTTGTTTGTTATCATGTGAGCTCAAGGATAGCACCTAAGAAGTATTCAAATAATTAGCACAAGTACTTGAAAACAATGAGAACTTTTTAGAATCAAATAATTCTCAACCAGCTGTGTATGCCCAATGTTGTTCAGGGGTTTGAGGGGTGAGGAACTGGTGAGGTTGACTGGGAGAGGATGATAAAAACAACGGTCTTAGTAACTAAAATGTACCTTTATTAACCTGAGTATTTGCAATAATGAAACTGCAAAACACAAAAATTGCTTAGGATAAAGTTAAAGGGAAGGGACCCTGACATGTTTGTCCCATAGACTTATTAATATACAGATTCTTGCATTTGAATATTCCCATCTTTTTAAGTCACTTTGAATTAAACCTAGTAATAAATTTCCTTTTATTATGCAAATGGCTTGAATATAAAAATAAACATAATTGTGTGGCATTCGCCTGTTAGAGTTAAAAGATTAAAAAAGAAAATACTAAAACCTGTTCAGAAGTTATGGTGTGAATCTGAATTATACAGGTTTTACTGTATTATCTACTATTGATAATTTCTTGATTAATAAACTGGCTCAATTCAAGCTCTGAATGATATATTTGGGATCATAACAGAGTAGCACAAGTAATGAAACAGAATAAACCAATTTTCCCACTTAATTAAACAGGATTTTTTCCTTATAACCATAAACAGCACTGGTTAGAATTGCCATATTAATTAATTTATTATTATTATTAATCCTACAATTTTTGGC